CTGCTCCACCAGGACGCACACCAGTTACATCAAGCAGTTGATTTTTATGCACCTAGACTAATACATATTCATTACTACTTCTAAAAAAATAGATTATTATAATTAGCTTCCAGGGTCCAGTCCCTCCTACTGGAGCATGCGCATCAGTCTCCTCTGGGGGTCTCCAGGGGTCTGTCATGCTGAAGGCTCGTAGTCTTCCTCTCCCCTTTGTACTCACTCGGCACCATACCAAGTTTATAGAACATTTTCTGCAAGTCTTGTCTCCCAGCTGTCCTTCAGCTTCTTTTTTCTTCCTCTTAATCTCTTGGCCTCCTAGCCAGATACCAAAGATCCGCATAGTATCCCATAACAGTCACTAGTTGTTATCAGTTGTTCTGAAACTCCCAGACATCAAACACAAACAGCTTTCTTATTTGACGCTTCACGAGTAATTAAAACATTCTTCCCCAGCCATTCACAGACACATCTATAGCAGTGTTAAGTTAATCTCGAAGAAGACAGGAAAAAGGCTGTAACAGTTAGAAATAGAAGTCCAGAATAACAAAAGCAAACAGGTTCATAAATTTAAGGAGTGTTTTCTGAAGACGTGTGTAGTGGGTTTACGTGGCAAGGTTTTGGTAGCAGGGGGCCATAGGGGTGGTTTCTGTGAGAAAGATCTAGAAGCCGCCCCATGTTTGGGAAGGGCCCCGTTGTTTTCCAGATCTGAGCCAATAAGCGATGTTGTTTTGCGCCTCTGTGAGAGCATATTTAAGACAGGGAAAAAAACGCTGCGCCACACAGCAGCCGGGAGAGTCAAGGGAGTGAGAAACAGCCTTGCAGGTGCCAAGGTCAGTGTAGAAGGAGGGGGAGAGGTGCTCCAGGCGCCGGAGCAGAAGTCCCCTGCGGCCTGTGGTGAGGACCATGGTGAAGCAGGATGTCCCCCTGCAGCCCATGGAGTACCACGGTGGAGCAGGGTTTCACGCTGCAGCCCGTGGAGGAGACCACGGTGGAGCAGGTGGCCCTGCACCAACGGAGGCTGCCGCCTGTGGAAGACCCCTGCCGGAGCAGATTCCGGGCCGGACCTGTAGCCTGTGGAGAGGAGACCACGCAGGAGCAGGTGACCTGGCAGGAGCTGCTGCCCGTGGGGGACCCAGGTTGGAGCAGTTTGCTCCTGAGGGATGGACCCCGTGGTACGGACCTATATCTGGAGCAGTTCTGGAAGAGCTGCTGCCTGTGGGAAGCCCACACCGGATCAGTTCATCAAGGACTGCATCCCGTGGGTGGGACCCCACAGCACAGGGGATGAGAGTGACCGAGAAGGAGCGGCAAAGAAGAAGTGCTATAGACTGACCATAACCCCCATTCCCCCATTCCCCTGCGCCGCTCAGGGGGAGGAGGTGGAAGAGGGTGGATGGGGGGGGAGGTGCTTTTGGTTTCTTTCCTTTGTTTCTCACTTCTCTAGCTTGTTAGTAATGAGCAATAAATCTTACTATCTCCTTATGCTGAGTCTGTTTTGCCCGTTATAATAACTATTGCATGATTTTCTCATCCTTATCTCAACCCTTGAGCCCTTTTCACATATTTTCTCCCCATTCCTCTTTGAGGAGGGGGAGTGAGAGAGCGGCTATGGTGAAGCTCAGCTGCCCACTCGAGCGGAATCACGACAAGGGCACATTGTGCAGGATGCTCCTAAAGACCTTTGTGTCCTTTCTTTTCTGACTACAATGCTACTTCCCTCTCAGGAATGGAGGAGCCAACAGAGGTGAAAAAGATACTCTATGATCATGAATGTAATCAGAAAGCTGACCCCACTAAGATACGGGGAGGTTAGGAGGAGCATGGACGGGAGAGATGTGAGACTTTGGGGTGAGAAAATGAGCATGGCCGTTAATGATTTCATAGAAGTAAGAAGGTGCATGTAATGTTGATGCTGTAGTAACACTGACTTAAATGAATCTTGTATGACCCTTACTTTATTTAGGCAGTAATTTTAATCCTGAAACCTAAATGTTACTCCAACACTCTGACAGGAATCCCCTACTCTAATGCTTGAATTCAAAGGATCCCTTCAAGCAAAACTCATCCCATAGCCCCTTTCCCTTTCCTTTATTCTCTTACTCACCCAAATGCCTTCCCTGGACACTAGTATTAAAATGATCTACTGATCCTTAGGTTTCTTGGCAGACCTAAATAAAACCCTAAACCACACAGCTTATCCATACATAACCACAGAAGAACACAAAACATTCCAAATAAAACTCTGTTTAATCTCTAACCCAGAAAAGTGAGCCCTAGTCCCTAAGGGACTAGGGAGAGGTGAGCTCTGCCTCAGGATCTCCTGCCCCAGCAGAAGGAATGTGACTGTGGCAGGGACTGTGAGGTCACTTCTGTCTCTGCACTTGATAGGGCAGCAGCAGGAATGTGTCACGGAAAGGGACTGTGAGGTCACTTGTGTCTGGAGGTGGCAGGTCAGCCTTGACTTCTCCCTGGGAGCTGCACTTTTGGGCTGACATCTGGCAGTGGCTCTGATAGGCCAGCAGAAGGCACCTGCTTGGCATGCTGACTGGGGGATCCCCTCTGCCTCCAGAGCCAGGAGGACCCAGGCAGAAAGAAGGCCCCAACAGTGGTTGTCCTGTCCCTTCTGCTTGAGTCCATGACTGCACAGCAGAAGGCACAAGGCTTGGCTGTGTCTCCACAAGAAGCTGCAAGGCCAGCAGCAGGCCCCTGGCTTGGAAGCTGCTGCTGAGGTGACTTGTGTCTGCTTGGCTGAGAGGCCGCAAGGAGCCTGCTGAGTTGGAATGCCTACTTCAGGAGTGGATTCCACCCTGATGGAGCTTTCTTTGGTCGTAGGAAAGAGCAGGAGAGAAAAACTTGCCACAATATGTGCCCTGGAAGGTTGGCACTGGCCATGAGGAGGAAGAAATGTCCAGGGGAACAACTGGTCTTCCTGCTACAGACTGGGGCAAAGAAGAAATTATGTACCACAGCCTTTACCTTATCTCGATATCTTCACCAGATTTCCTCCACATCCAATACAGGATGATGACTCTCCTTTATCCTCCTTTATTAAAAGTATTTCTATAAGCAGTGTTTACTGTCTTTGAGAGTCATAGTGAGATTGAGCTCCACCTGGCTTTTGGGCCTTCCAATTTTCACCTGCACAACCCCATAACATTCAGGACCCAGCTCCAGACAAACTGACAGCATACATGAGAAGGAAGCATGGAAGAGATGGAACCTGACAGCCTTCCATCCCCTACCCTTCTGTGGCTCTGTGCTGCAATGCCATTCAACTGGATACTCCTGTATTATCCAAACTTTCCTGCGAGTCCTGATGCTGCTGTCTTCTCAGAGATAGCACAATCACAGGACAGTTGAATTGTCTGCCTGCAGACATGAATGGCTGACAGAATGGAGCATCTGTGTTAGCGAACGTAGAGAAAATGCAGATTTTGCCTACAAAAACCTCTTAACATTTACAAGGAGAAGAAACCAGTCCTGCAACAGAGGAAGAGGAACCCCACACATGGGGGCAGACTGGGACCGTGCTGAGTGAGCAGTGCCCAGGAGGAGGAGGGCCTGGGCACCACTAGGGATGCTATAGGAGAAGTTGGTGCCTGCTCACCAGGAACCAGGCCAGCTTCCTACAGAGCTACCTTATGAGATATTTGTGTCCATGGCTATGGCTGTTGTCCCAACACTGGGCCTTATGAGGAGACAGCTAATCTCTAAAGCAATGAAGCCTAATTAACTCCTCGTCCACCCATGTAGCAGGCAGGGGTCGTACCATTCTCCTGCACTTGGCCATGCACATCCCCATCTCCTACTGCTCCACAAAGAGCTCTGAGCAACCTGTCAAGGGAAAGGATCTCCCTTCCTAGAGGACAAGGGTCAAGGCCTGGCCCTTGTGCTTGGTGACACACATCCACTTTTCCTCCACATCAGCGTCACCTTCACATTGCCTTGGTCTCCTTGTCCTCACTGCCTCCAGGGTTCTGCTCTAACGAGCTCCAAGGGAGGCTGTGTCAGTGCTGGCCCTCAGGGGGACACTGCAGGAAACTTGCCTCTGACTTGCACTTCTGGAGAGATGTCTTCCATTGTCTCTGAGTGCCTGAGGTTCGTGGGCTCATCAGGAAAGCCCCCAGAGGGGTGATTGCAGTGCCTTGGGCTGGTGCTGTGCTGCTGAGCTGGGCCGGGCTCGTTGGACAGAGAGAACTCATGGCAAGAGGGCCGTGGTGCAGAGAGACAGCTGTGCCCAGGAGCAGCTCCTCTGCACAGCGCAGCAGGTAAGAGATACAAAGGCAAAAACACAGAGAGGAGAGAAGGAGAGAGGGCTTGGAGGCAGTTGGCAGTGGGAGGATGCTGAGAGCTGCCTGCAGGAGAAATGTGCACAGCCCTTGACAAGGTAAGGGTCTGGCTGCAGGGCCATACAGCTGCAGGTCCTGGAAGGGTCTCCTGCTGGGTCTTGTTTCTGGGAGGGCAGTGGGCAATGCAGTAGGCTTTGAGAGTCTTTGAGGTTCTGCTGCAAAATAGGGGCTTGGGCTGGGGGTGCTCTTAAGCTTGTAATAGGTTTTAGTTTAAGTAGTCTGTTCTAACTTTGCTCTGCCTTCTCCTCTTCAACAGACAGCCATTTTTTAGGTAAGAGAATGCCGAACAGCAGCTCTGTGAGTGAGTTCCTCCTGCTGGCATTCGCAGACACGCGTGAGATGCAGCTCCTGCACTTCGCGCTCTTCCTGGGCATCTACCTGGCTGCCCTCCTGGGTAACGGCCTCATCCTCAGCGCCGTAGCCTGCCACCACCGCCTCCACACCCCCATGTACTTCTTCCTCCTCAACCTCGCCCTCCTTGACCTGGGCTGCATCTCCACCACTCTGCCCAAAGCCATGGCCAATGCCCTCTGGGACACCAGGGCCATCTCCTATCAAGGCTGTGCTACACAGGTCTTTCTATTTGTCTTCTTGATTGCATCAGAATTTTATCTTCTCACCTTCATGGCCTACGACCGCTACGTTGCCATCTGCAAGCCCCTGCACTACGGGAGCCTCGTGGGCAGCAGAGCTTGTGCCCAGATGGCAGCAGCTGCCTGGGGCAGTGGCTTTCTCAATGCTGTCCTGCACACGGCCAACACATTTTCCCTGCCCCTCTGCAACGGAAATGCTGTGAAGCAATTTTTCTGTGAGATCCCCCAGATCCTCAAGCTCTCCTGCTCACATGCCTACCTCAAGGAAGTTGGGGCACTTGTGATTAGTTTTTCTTTCAGCATTGTTTGTTTTGTTTTCATTGTGCTGTCCTATGTTCAGATCTTCAGGGCAGTGCTAAGGATGCCCTCTGAGCAGGGACGGCACAAAGCCTTTTCCACGTGCCTCCCTCACCTGGCCGTGGTCTCCCTGATGGTCAGCACTGCCATGTTTGCCTACCTGAAGCCCGCTTCCATCTCTTCCCCATCTCTGGACTTGGTGGTGTCACTTTTGTATTCATTGGTACCTCCAGCAGTGAACCCCCTCATTTACAGCATGAGGAACCAGGAGCTCAAGGTTGCAGTGAGGAAACTGTTTCTATATGTGCTTCTTAAGCCTCAGTGTTGTTAACATTATTGTGATTTGTATCATATCATTTTTTGTACTTAGTATTATTATCATATTGTAATAATAATAATAATCCTCTAAACGCTACCGTTCTATTATAAGTAACTGACATGAGAGATTTTCATTTATTTTTTTTTTTGTTTTTATTATTTTCATAACTTTTGATATTGGTTTAATTTATTAAGTAATTTTTTTACTTTGACTACGTCTTCTAATCAGCCTATTGAACTAGGCTTCCTCTGTAGGTATAGACAATAAAGAAGTCAGTGGAAATTCATTGGTCTCAGTATCCCTCTCTTCCTATCTTCTCTGGAGCTGGGGGAACAACCCCAGCACGCAGGAGGGGCTCAGGGCCAAGAGCCCAGCTGCCACATACAGGAGCAGCCCTGGTGGCCCTCAGAGCTTCCCCTCACTGCCCACTGCCCACTTTATTTAGTTGGAAAAAGGGAAAACCCTTCTGCACCTGTGTACAGACACATCTCTTAGGAAAGCAGGTAGGAGCTGCTGCAAAGGGGCTGTAACATCCAGCTGCAGCCTTGAGTGAAGTCTGGTGTAAGGAAATCTTCATCTTCCAGGGATATCCACAAGTTTTGATTACATATCATTTGCTGAATCTCCCTTTTACAGCTGCTTGTCTGGACCCATGTACATCCCATGGTTCTCCTGGTTTGCCCTCCCCTTACTTTTTGATCATTCAGACTGCTCTCACTGACCCAGTGGCTGCTCTGAGTGTCAGGTAGAAGCAGCCCAGCTTGTCCATCTGTCACCAGCCTGTCTAATTGTTTCCTTAGCAAGAACCTCATCATTTCTCATTGAATTCATATGATATGGAACAATACTTACACTATTATTTTTAATGTCCTATGTATCAGTATAAAATACTTGTACAGTCATCATTTTGGGAAGTTGAAGGTCACAGGAGGCATACAAGATGAAGAGTTTGCTTTGTTTTTTGGCAAGTTGTTGCATGTTTTCCTGTTGTTTGGTTGGAAATAGGAAAACCCTTCTGCAGCTGTGTTCAGCCAGGTCTCTTAGGAAAGCAGGTGGGAGCTGGTGCAAAGGGGCTGTAACATCCAGCTGCAGCCTTGAGAGAAGTCTGGTGTAAGGAAATGAGAAACAAGCGTCAGGTGGCCAATGAGAGAAATGGCAGGGCTGGGGTGGTGAGGAGCAAGGTTGTCCATGCAGTGTCAGACCTCCAGAGTCTGCTTTTCTTCCCCAAGCGCATCTCCAAAGGAGACACCCTGGATCAATATAAATTAGGGAATAATGCTCCCAACCAAAAGTAAACTAAATGCATCCTTTAAGATTAGAAGATTTTTATTAGGTGCTTTTTGAAATATTCCTCCTTAACTAAACCATGAAAGCTCTCCAATGACCTGTACAAGTCTTGAAGTCTTGAAGAGAACTGTAGAGGAGATGTTAGGAGTGCCTTCATTTTAATGAGTTCCATGGTGTATTTTGGTGCTGAGCCTGTGACGCTCAGGTACTGAGAGGACAATGATGTAACTGCTTGAGCAAGTAAAGTCAGAAGGACAAGCTGAAGTGACTTGGAGTATTAATGGGCACCACTGAGGGTTATTATTAAGACAGCCTCCCCAGAGACTGGGTGGCCCTCGGGGCTGCCCCTCACTGCCTGCTGGGCTCTGCCTCTCTGCTGCCTTTGGGTCAGGGCTGCTGTTTCCCTGGAGCCATGGCCATGGCCAGCAGCAGGACGTGGCCTTTTCCCTGCTGCTCTCTTTTGGCTTCCTCATTGTTCTCTTGTGCTCTTACGTTTGGATAAGCCCTTAGATCTCATGCACCTTGGTGACAGTCCTCTTCTCTCTGCGGTGGCACCCTTGTGGCTGAAGGCAGCAGCAGGCACTGTGCAGCCCTGGGTCACAGCTGCCTCCCTGCTAGCACCACAGTAACAGGAGCGTCTTGCTCAGGGCAAACCCAGAAGCCTGGACACCTCTTCCAAATGTGCTATCAGGAATAGAGCCAAGGGATTGCTCCCCGCTCTTCTCTATTCTGGAGGTTAGTCATGGAGTGAGGGACACAGGCTGAAAGTCCCAGGGTGGTCCCTGAGGAACCAAGGGCAGGACCAAGAGCTTCAATTATGGCAGAACTTGCCTAAGGAGATCACAACTGATCTTAAATTTATCTGCATGGCACTGCACCCCCTGCAGCGGGGCAGATGGCAGATTCCAGCCTGGAGAGGAATCTAGAGCTGCCAGGAGATATCAGGGGATCTGCAGGGACAGTGTGCTCAGTGGCTAGTGATTAGAACCTCATAAAATGTGTGACCATGCAAAGAAGGGTCTGGTAAAGGAAAAGGGGAATCTGAGGAGTCCATGGGCTAAAGGAGGGCTCTGCAATGCCAGTAAAGGTGGTGAAGAGCCAGCAGGCAAAAGCCCATAAGACTGCAGAGTAATTGAGGATATGCATTTTGAAGTGCTATGGGCAAGGTCTGGTGCAGCACTCGCCTGCCCTTTGTGCCCTCAGACACACCCCATGGCCCTGCCCAGCACTGCCCTGTGCTGCTGAGCCATCAGGGCAGATGGAAAGGGGCTCAGCAGCAGAGATCCCCATGGACGTAGGTCTGGTACCCACCCTGAGCAGCATGGGCAGTGGGGGAGACCCGCGGGGGTCCCAGGGCACCACAGCCCCTGGCTCAGCACAGCAGCACCGCCAGCTTGGGGCCCTGAGGGGAGCACAGGGAGGGAAGCAGCAATGGCTGGCCAGGCCAGCATGGACACATTGCCCTGGGCAAGGCTCTCTGGGAGCAGGGATGGCCCTGGGGAAGAGCAGGGCAGCATTGCTGGGCCTGCACTGATGGGGAAAGGGCAAAGGGAAAGCTCTTTGTGCAGGCCCCTGCTCAGGGCAGGCTGCTCTGTGGCTGGGCCAGGCCTCTTGTGCTGGCCTGGGGAGCGGGGCTGGCCCTGCAGGGCACAGGCACTGTGTGCTGGGGATCTGCCAGGCAAGAGAGCAGGGCTCCTGCAGCTTCACGGACCTCCATCTCCTGGCTCCACGGACATCTCCTTGCTGCATGCATCCAGCAAATAAACACCTATCGGCCACCTGCTTTCTCTTCTTCTAGAGGAACTGGGGATGGAATAGCAAAACCAAGTAAAACTCAGAAATTGTGAGCCACAGAGGGCCCTGATGCTGTGCAAGAAATGCTCAAAAACAGCAACCACAACTGTGGGTGACCATCACTGGTCACACAACCAAAGCACTGTACCACAAGGGGCTGCTTTGCAGAGAGTAGCTCCGTCCCAGCCACAGCCAGTACAGGGTCCCTGTTGGACAAGAAGACTCCCCCTGAGCTCTGGAAGGAGCCAGGAAGGTGCTAATAAGCACCAGGACAATTGAGGAAGTCCGAAGGCCCTTCTGAAGGGTCACTGAGTGCCACCTGAGAGGCAGTACAGGGCAGTGAGGAGGGCCAGGAGAAAGACTTGGGTGAAGGCTGTGAGAAACAGAGACACTCGGGGCTTTAGCAGATCCTTAAAGTCCTGCCTGAATCCCCAATGGAAAGCAGTGTATATCTGTGGATGGAGAAGTAGCCAAATCTTGGGACTGGGACAGGGCTGAAGGGCCCTGCATGAATCTGGTCTAATGGAGAAGTGTCCACCCTGCATGTGTGCCTCAGCCTGGGAGCAGGGGCCTGCCCACGGTGCAGGATGTCTGGGCTGTGCTCAGCCATGCCCCAGGAGATGACCTTGCTCTCTTCCTCCCCACCACTCCCTATACGGGGCAGGCCCTCAGCAAACACCCCTGAGCCTGGAGATGCACCAACCTGCTGCGCTGAGGTACCACTACTGCAGGGTGAGAGGGGAGGGTTGGAGAGACACATGGGGCCTGTGGGCAAGAGTGGTGTGGCCTGGGGAAGTGAGTGCCTGGGAAAAGTTACCCTGGAGCCATAGGAGCCATTCTGGAAAGAAAACTTGTAGGCAGGAACCGCACTTTTGTGATGGTGCAGAGCTGCTGGGCACACTGTGTAGGGTGCTCTGATGGACTTTTGTGTCCTTTTCCATCGTGTATTAAGTGCCGCCTTTCTAAGAAATAGAGTACCCAACAGAGATGTGATGGATACTCTGAGATCATGAAAGCCATCAGAAAGCTGATCCCAGTGAGATGACTGATAAGGGGAGGTCAGGAGAAAGATGGACAGGAGAGACGTGAGATTTGGGGGAGGGAACAGGGGCTTTGCCAGCAGAAATTAAGGATTTTGTAGAGGTAAGAGGGTTCAGGTTCTGCTGATACTGCTGTAGCAGTGACTTAAAACAGTTATATGAGGCTATTCCCCGGCTTCAACCTGTAAACTTAATTCCTAAACATAAATGCTGCTCCACACCCTGACAGGAATCCACTACTCTAATGACTGACCTCAACGTATCCCTAGAAGACAAAACTCAGCCCATAGCCGCTTCCCCTAGTTCTTACTCTCTTAATCACTCTGATTTCTGCTCTTAATACTAGAACTAAAATGGCCTACACTAGAAAACTGCTTAAGAGACCTAAACAAAACCCTTACCCCAAGTGAATGTGAGGGGCCATGGATCTGATCAGCTTGTGGGCCACAAGGAGGAGATGGGTGGGAATGCTCTGAGGATCTCAGCTCTGCCTCAGGATCTCATGGCCCAGCAGGAGCAATGTGACTGTGGCAGGGACTGTGAGGTCACTTCTGTCTCTGCACTTGATAGGGCAGCAGCAGGAACGTGTCACAGAAAGGGACTGTGAGGTCACTTCTGTCTGTAGGTGGCAGGTCACCCTTGACTTCTCCCTGGGATCTGCACTTCTGGGTTGACATCTGGCAGTGGCCCTGCTAGGCCAGCAGAAGGCACCTGCTTGGCATGCTGACTGGGGGATCCCCTCTGCCTACACACCCAGGAGGACCCAGGCAGAAAGAAGGCCCCCAGATGGGTTGTCCTGTCCCTTCTGCT